TATCACCCCCCCCCCCAATATTTTGACTATGTATGGGAAAAATGGAGCTTTATACACTTCAAATGACTGTCACAGTAATAATTTGAACTGTCTTATGCACTTACAAAGATGAAAATTAGCATAATATATTAATGTTGATAACAAAATTATTTTATCTGGTACCAATCTATGCTCTTCTTTCCTTAGATGTTAGATGTGCTTGCAAAGAGAGCCACATTTCACACTGAAGGGTGTGTACGACATCAGTAATGTTATGTCAATTCCAAGAATGTTCAAGGTTATATCGGTTGATGAGGAATTTATTGATTAGGCCTATAATAGCAAATTGCATCAATTTATTTTGCAAAAACAGGGCTTCCAGCTTCAGAGGGGGGCACAAGGGCCACATTGGCTCTAACACCAGGCGCGTAACAGGGGTCTTGGGTCAGAGTGGGTATTTATTTTCCCGGTTAGTAATTTATCATACCCACCCCACCCCACTCCCCGTATAGAAAACAATACGACATAGGGCTTATCTTATTTATAATATACCGTAGGCCACACACGTGTGTTTGAAACTAAATATAAGCATTTTCATCATGGTTTTATTTATTACAAACATATTCTTTCAGCATCAATACACATTGAGGCCCTTCTTTTAGGTTAAAACGATCTATCTTAAATTTGTCTTTCTTGAGTTTGGGACTATTATGTGTTTAAATAACTTAAAAGGATAAACCTAAAAAAGCCCTAAAAAATGCGCGCAATATTTTAGTGTTTTTAATTCTAATTTCGTCGGAATTGATGAAAACTCCCTAAAATGTGCAATTTATAGAGGAAATTGGCCTACTGTAACAAGAAATGCGCGCAACGAATTTGAGAATTTTAGGCATTTTCAGAGGATGCATTTGTCAAGGGGTGGGGAAAGATTTTCCAAAGATGGATATTTCCCCGGTGTTTTTAATTCTAATTTTGTTGGAATTGATCAAAACTCCCTAAAATGTACAATTTTTAGAGGAAATTGGCCCATGTTAACAAGAAATACGCGCAAGCACTTTCAAGGGATGAAAAGGGCATTTATAAAGGGGTGGGGAAGATTTTTCAAAGATAGATATTTTTCCCTTGTCCCCCAGTGGTTACGCCATCGGGCAGCATAGATCAAAGGATTTATGAGAGTTTTTGAAGTGGAGAAGGGGTTGCAGGGTGAAGTGAGTCTGGTCATTTTGATATCTTCCATTTTATTCTTGTCTTTATTTTTCTCTTCTCTTTTTCTTTTTCTTTCCTTTTCTTTTCCTCTTCTTTCTCTTTCCCTCCAGCTCCCCTCTTTCTTTTCTCTTATTACCCAGCTCGATACGACGGCTTGGTCAGCCCGGTAAAAACCGTCAGGGGAGGGGCAGTTTCCCCCTTCCCC